TGTCACATGGCCTTTCTAATTGCCAACTTCATATGCAAAACAGCCTGGTACTATCTTGGCTAGGGTTTGAGGGATGAGAGGGTGTGGGCATAACCTAAAGTAGGTATTTATAGTTGGGTAATTCTCTTTCAACTTGTATATTGAAACAAATGAAACAGTAAATATGAAATTCTAAATGTTTTACATTTTTCTCTAGGAATACGGAGTGCTTTGCATTCAGGAATACGGAAAAAACAGCGAAGTGGAGTCAGGTACACAGAACAGCTTCATGGGCTTGAAGGATCATCTGGGGCATGACCTAGGCCACCTTTGTGTGGAGAGCACTGACCCACATTTAAGCACATCTGTACCTTGGTCAATGGTAGAAAAACCAACAATGGATCAAGTTAATTCCGGGAAGGAAGGAAAAGAGGTGTCTGAAGAGAATGCGAGCTCTGGTGACTCTGAAGAAAGCACAAATTCTGATAACGAGTCGGAACAATTGAGTAGCATTTCGGCAGAGCCATGCTTTTTAGCCAAGGCTCACAGACAGCTGTGCAGGTCTCCCTGCTTGGAGCCTCACATCCTCAAACGCGGTGAAATCTTACAAGACTTGAAACCCGAAGAGCCCCAGACCGCACCCCGGGAAGTGAAGCCGCCCGACGTGGTGCGGGAGTACCAAACGAAACTGGAGTTTGCACTGAAGTTGGGTTATTCTGAAGAACAGGTTCAGCTGGTGCTGAACAAACTTGGCACTGACGCTTTAATCAATGATATTTTGGGAGAACTCGTCAAACTTGGAAATAAAAGTGAGGCCGAACAAACAGTTACTACTATTAACAGCGTGATGCGGGAAACGTCGTCCCTGGAGTCTCAGCGGTCTGATTCTCCAATGCTGCAGGAGATCGTGACAGATGATGGAGAAAATCTGAGACCAGTAGTTATTGATGGCAGCAATGTGGCAATGAGGTAGGTGGGAAAATCTTCAGGGATTAGTACCAAACAACCTTTGAAAGGTATTTCTAATTGTGTGACTTTTCTAACAGCCATTAAAGTCAAGGTTATTCTGTATCCTAACATTAGCTTACACGTTTCTCTTTTAGTGTTCTGTCTCTCTACTTCCAGAGTGGTCAGCCATTTTCACCCCATTTGTCCCTGAATAGAGACCCCATTTCCCCAGATATGTCTCTTATTTTTTCTCTTCTGGCTCTATTACTATGCTGTAAAAATTAGCATTTTTTCTTGGTTTCATGTTAACCACTAGTGTTAAATGGAGAACTTGAGTACAGTAATATTCAACAATTTTGGAATCTAGTCAGATAAATAGCCTATTTCTACATCAAGTCAAATAATCATAGGGGAAAAACACAAATTGTTTTAGGAAATAAACTATTTTTATGATTTGGGAACAAATCAAGGCAATTTTTTTTGTTTTATTTAAGAGATGTTATTCAAAAATAATTCATTAGAAACTGGGAGGGAAAGAACAAATGGAGAACTTCTAATGAAATATTTTTTATAAATGTTGGTGCCTTAAAATTCAGTTCAATTAGTACTATATAATCAACTGCTCACAGTGTTCAGAACACTGGGGATATAAAGATATATGAAGGCATCAGTTCTTCTTTTATAGAGCTTAGAATTTTATATATTGTTTCTCAAAGGTCATTTGAAGGTACCTGCCACAGAATCATCTGGAGAACTTGTTGAAAATGCACATTCTGGAGCAGTGCTGTTCAGTGGAAGTATAATGTGTGGCACGTGTGTCATTTTTAATTTTCTGGTACCTACATTAAAAAGTTAAACAGATAAAAGTAATGTTAATAATGCATTTTGTTTAACCTAACGTAGCCAAAATATCATTGCAACATATAATCAATTTAAAAATTGTTAATGAGATTTTCGCCGTACTCTTTCATGTCTCCAAATCGGGCATCTTACACTCAGAACGCCTCATTTCGGACTCATAGTGCTGCGCGCGCTCAGTAGCCACATGTGCTAGAGACCTACCAAGTCCACACACAGACCTACCAACTGCAGATTAAGGTGTAGCCCAGGCATTCCTTTTGTAAAAAGTACCCCGCTAATAATGATGGTACTGATATTTGAGGACCACTGTTTGTAGTAGGTGATCACAAGTACTTCTGCACAGGGTATGAGAAGGGCCAATTTGTAATTCTCCAAAAATAACCTTTGCAGGTGGAACCTGTATTATCCTACTTGCATTTATTTTAAAAATGTATCTTTATTGATTTCAGAAAGAGGAAGGGGGGGGAGAGAGAGAGAGAGAGAGAGAAACATCAGTGATGAGAGTTGTCACTGATCGGCTGCCTCCTGCACGCCCCTGATTGGGGATCAAGCCCGCAACCCAGGCATGTGCCCTGACCAGGAATCAAACCATGATCTCCTGGATCCTGTGTCGATGCTCAACCACTGAGCCACACCTGGCCAGGCCTTACTTGCCTTTTTAAGCAAATGAGACTTGCAGGATTTGCCCAAGGTACAGTATAGTTTCAACCCAAATATGTCTGATTTCAAAGTCTATACATTTTTTATCGTATAATGAAAGACAAAAGCCAGTTACAAAGGTTCGAGCCAGATATTACAAGGTCTTGAGTGCTGGGCTAGGAAATTTAAGGTTGTCCCTAATCCAAAGGTAATCGAAGATTTTTGAGGAGGGGGAGGCCAAGAGTAGAGTTATGCCATATACTGATATCTGGCGGTGATGTTTAGAGTGGATTATAGGAGGGAGGAGATAAGTTTGGATGCAAACAACCCTTTTATAAAGAGGGCTTTAAATGTCATAGAGGTATGAAGTATGCATATGACCTTGAGAGGTCTTTCAGTAAAACAACCTCTCTTTAATCTTTCCCAAACGTGACCACATAAGGATTTTTTTTTCTTATAATAATCCAGGACTAGTGAACAATTACCTTAGCAGCATGATATATGTGGGGCCAAAATGCCATGGATTTGCTAAGGGAGAGAGTAATGAAGGAAGGTGTAACAGGTCCTAGAGAAACACCTGCAACCATAGCCCTGTACCAGAATCACCAGGGAGTTCTTACAAACACAACCTCCAGGACTCTCGGAGAATCTGATCCCGTGCGACTGTGGTAGAACCCAAATAACTACCTTTTTTAAGTGCCAAGGTATTTCTGATGCAGAGTTTATGTTGAGAACCATTCAAGATGAAAATGTGGGTATCTACAGGTCAGGAGGTAGAAGAAAGTGATGATCCAAGAGAAAATTAGTATGAAAAACGTGTTAGAAAAAAGCATAGTGGTAGAAAAACCAAGAGATATACAAATGGCATCAAACTCAAAAAAGAAAGACTTTAGGAAGAGAATATCCCGTGGGTTGTACTGAAAATAAGCTCAGAGGACATGACAGCCAGGAAGTCCTTGTCTTCAAGAATGCCATCTGGTATTAAAGATAGATGCTCACTTGCATGATGTCAAGAAGTGAATAGAGCTAGGCTTTATTCTGGATGAAGTTGGCAGAGCAAAGGAAGAAAGAAGGAAGGGCTGGGAAAGGGTTTTGTTTCATTTTGTTTTTAAGAATGAAACTGTATAAGCTGAGGGGATGGGGGAAGAGCCTCCACAGGAGAGGAGCTGAGCATATGAGTTTAATTTTTGAAGCAAAGTTCTGAAGGAGGAGACAAGAGAGGGGAATTTGGCATTGGACATAAATGCAGGCCTTGGAGGGGGGAGACAGCTTTAGTTTTATAAAACTTGTATCCTGTAGAAATGAATTTTTAAGATGGGTATCATCTAGATAAATGATGTCACAGTTGGGTCAGCCTGACGTCAGCTCACGTGATGAAAACCTAGTTCCAAATGGAGATAAAAAGTCCTAGGAAAACTGAAAATTTACCAAACACTGAGCATTGCTCATCCCACATGGTGAGAATTATCCACAGAAAAACCTTTAGTGTACAGAAGAGATGGCATAATCAAGGCATTTTAAATCTTGTCCTATTTCATTATGAAAGCAGACTTCTACCCCACAGTGTTCTGGCCCCATCCTGTTGCCTTGCTGTACAGGTGAAACAGTGCAAATTCGGGTCTTCTCTCCGTCATATACTTTAATCCGACACTTAATGGAAGTGTTTCAGGCCTTCCAGGACCCAGGGAGTTGACAGGAAATTTTTATTATAGCAACATTTTACTGTCATTCACAATACCAGGTACCACATCCATAACTTTGAAAGTACCAGAGCTCATAAAAAGTCATAGTAAACATTTTACATTCTGCCATTTACAAGTTCAACATAAAGTAGCGAAGTCATTTAAAAATGCATGTCTACTTGAGACCCAGAATGGTAATTTAACAAAAATTCAGAGAGATTTTACCCATTTCATGTTGCATAAAATATGACATGCTTTTACTTCTGAAATTAATTTCCTACTCATAAGTTTAGCAAGCCTATTATATAATAAATCTATACATATGGTAATAAATTATAATAAGTAAGTGTGGGGGGTGGGTTAAGAATAGAACACTTTTATTTCCTTCCTGATCTCTCAAGCAGATATATTCCCTATATGAGATGAATATGTTTTAACTTTATTTAAGTGCTAGCTATGGAACTGATACAATGATTCTTTAGATGTAAATTAAAAGTGGGAAAGCAAAGGCATTTTTATTAAAATTAGCACAATAGGTTTTTTAAATAATTTAATTCTCTACAGAATTCTAAATGGTTTAAACTCTCCAGCCTCAGTTTTCAAAATTATAAAAAGGGGAAATTCTTATTTTGCAGGCTTGTTATTAGAATTAGAGATAATTAATACCAGGCACCTGTCATGTCATAGGTGCTGAGTAAATTACAGTTATTACATTAAAGAGTCAGAATTATAATTAATGTAATGAAAACTTAGTTATTCCAGTTTTTTATTCAATATTTAACAAACATAGTAAATTAGCAGTCCATTTTATTATGACCTGTAGGTGTGTTTTAATTTTCACTGCAGTTTATATCATCAGTGGTTTTCATTGACTCCAGAATTGCCCAGGGATGAGCCACATAGCCAGAGTATATAGCTCAGGGTCCTGAAATTTCAGGGAACCTGTGTTGCCTTGGGGGAGCATGTGTCTTCTTTCGGCTTATTTAGTATCCTTTTTAAAATGTGCCACCTTGATAGAAGCTCTGGTTAAGTTTGTTGAATGAGCAGTTCACCAAAAGTTGAGGCAAATGCCCAGAACTTAGTCTAGCATAATTTGTGACAGGTGTGTCACTGCTAGATACAGGAGCAGAGAGGACTTAAGTGCACAGGAATAGAAAAGACGGTGAAGTAAGTTTAGAGAAAGCCCTACACTTTTGCGTATAAAATGTTAAACATTCAAAAAGTATTTGGTTTCTGAAACATTAAAAGAATGAAATTAACATTTAGTGGAGCTGGACTAACAATTCCTGACAGAAAGCTGCAGTTAATTTTAATTCTTTAAAAAAAATACTTCTCAGTAATTTAGCAAATTGGTCATTCAGCAAATACGCTTCTTTCCTTAATAGGGCAGGTACTTGACAGTGTAGATGTACCATGAAATGGATATTCCAGACATACAGAAATAGAGCATAATTAATATCATATTTCTGAAATGAAATTCTTGTGATACTGTGATTTTTATTTCCTCCAAGTAGCTTTACCAGCCTTCAAATCTGTGATTCCATTGAACTTGAGGTGGTTCAGCAGTGGAGTACAGAATTAGTCTCTGTCCACATGTATCTATAGTTTAAATTCACATTTTTTCTTAAATGAGTCCAGCGCTCTTTTAGTCTGAGGTTTTAGGTTTAGGACTTGTCATATCATTAACAAGGTACAATCTTGTGAGCCATCAGGGGTGGGAGCATGATCAGTTGGGTGTCAGAGCCCTTTGATTCCTAAAAGTCCTTGATTTCTTCAATATGCTTTCATGCTAGTCACCTGACTGATTTAAAATTAATTGTATCTCTATATCTTACATTA